AGTTAGCAGTGCGCTCATTTCTGTCTGAAAATATTATGGCAGAAACAACAACAACAAAAAAATGTTTTTCCGAAACGCCATATTCAAAAGAGACGGTAAACATGCCGTTAACATTAACGTCGACAGACCTTATCCCTTCCGCATGTTTCCTAACAAATTCAGTATACTATTTGAATGAAGTCATACTACTGATGTTGTTCTTCATAACGTCGAACCATTTTCCTTTTAAAAAGAAACATAGGCTCATCTAACACGACCAACAACAACAACAACAACATAAGCTTTATTCGCATGACTATAATTATGTAGTTACAGTATTGCAAAAGCTTTAACATAAAAAACAAACAAACAACCGATGTTGTCTTTTCAAATAGCGTTGATGGGATGTCCCTCATCAAAGTACCCGTATGTCAAGCCCTTTTAAGTCGAGCTTAACAGGCAAGGGACGTTCTTACAAATTCAATAGTTTTCAATAAGGTGAAAATATAGAAAGGAAATTGTTGCATTCATAAATCTATATTAGATATCGTCGGATACCCCTAAAACGAATTGGTGAACATGGGTTTGGACGGTCTTTTATGATTGCATCACGGATCAATCCTCAGTTTAGGACCAAGATTTGCAACTGTGTAGAGCACCGAGGCCAGGTAAATATTCGTAAAACTTATAGCAATGACCCTTTTGACTCAAAACTTAAAATCTTAATGCAAAAGCTGCTCTATCACCTTTACAAATCTTTGCAAGTGTTTCCGTTTCCAGAATAACTAACTTTGCATATGCAGGTACACGTATAAGACCTACGATTATTCGAATATTGAGCAACATACGCACAATTATTTTTCCAAAAAAATGTTTTTAAAACACTTTATATATTATCAACCGTAATTAACAATTTACACCAAAAACAAGCCTGATAAAAGCTACGTGCAAGCAGACGCAACAACTCTCAACATTGTTGGACATTGGTGTGCAAACGGATGCAACAACTCCCAACAACTCCCAACAACACGCAACAACATGCAAGAGGGTGTGCAAACGGGGCAACATGTAGCACCCAACAATGTTGGGAGTTGTTGGCTCGAAACAATGCTGCACCAGTTTGCATGGGGTTTTACGTTTACTTAACAGTATAAAGGCACAGAGTTAGGTTATGAAAGATCGTAAAACGGAAAAAAGAGGGAGAAAAAACGAAAGGAATCATGGCTGCAAGATTATGGCTGTACAGTAGCTTACGCGGATGATTTTGTTACTGAAAGGAAAAGCATCGCAAGCCTTGACAGATTTGATTGTATTCAGTTTAAAATGAATTTTGTCTTCTTCCCTTTGAATTACACCTTCAAGTTTTTTACCTACACTTGTACGTTTTCCACCCACATCGTGGTACGCGTATTGCATTTTTCTCTGTCTTCATTACTGAGAACATGCAGCATGGATCAGGGTCTATTATTCAAGCTCAGTGCCAAAAAGCTCCTTGGTATCCATTTCAGACTATAGTTCAATGTGTGTTGAAACTGGCTGAGCAGGATGTGTTTTATCAAACACAAAACAGTTTGGCCTTTATCCATTTTGTCCGCCCGAGTACCGTCAGGGTCATATAGTTCGGAAACCCTCACTTTACTCAAGGTCCAAAATGACATGTTCCTTAACTTATTATGCACACAGAGTCACCGTGCTCGTGTTCCTCGACTGATAAGATAAACATAAATATAGATGGTAAATAAATAAATAAACAAGAAATGAAATGAAATAAGAGAATACAAATCCCAAATGAGATTTTTTCTGAGATTATTGCTTTATGTCCCAATAATTCAGGTGTCGAAAACGCGCTAATCCGAAAACTCAATATGCAATAACTCTGGTAAATAGGCTTGTCCCTCCCCACGCTCAATGCTCATCCAAAAAAATTCCACTTTTAGCAAAACACAGCGTGGATCTCGACATGCCAATCTGGTAAGTATCCTGGGTGAGACAATGTATTACAGTCCCCCTCCTTTGAAAAAAACCTAGCTACGGCCATGATTCTGAAATGAAATTGTCAGCATCAAATCGATGATTAAAAATAGAAACTTGAGATATCAATAATATGCACGTTTGGTGTAGTTTTTTCAAAGAATTCTATGGTGCCCTTCCTAGATTTGTATGATACAAACGATCTTGAAATCACTAATTCAGCGAGATATTGTACTAGACTTGGGCCGCATCTACTAATGCAAGCAAGGTTTTTGAGCAAGCATACACCTATTTCAATTGAGGTTGCTCCCCTGAAACATGATGCTTGATGCATGATTCACGTTTCATGGTCCGCGGTGCATTTTGGTAAATCTTTTGGTAAAGTCTTTGCACGCCAGTGCTCGGCAACCGATAAAATAATGAAGACAATTAACAGCTGTTTGAAAGTACTAACAAACAATAGGAAAACAGTGAAAATGAGTTTTCAGCTCAAACAGAAGCCGAACTGATTCTCAAGTGCAAGCAAGCTGAAGAACAACAGTTTCATTGAGACAGTAAAATTAAGAGCCGCCAACGTGGACAGCCTTGAAATAGGATTTTACGGTCCTCCTTCTTACCTTCTGTTGTCAATCTTTCAGCCCTAATAAATATTAAAAAAAACTCGTAAAGCAAAGGTTTTTTTATTATTATAGCGGCGACGGGGGCGAAAACGTTGCATTAAAAGTCAATTCGCGTTCTTTTAACCTTCATCGCGATTATCCCAACTCACTTACTTTGCCAAATGTAGGCGACCTCTCCTTAACAGCTGAATTTCTAAAAAGTTAAGAAAAAGAGGGAAAAATTCGTCTTCGCTTATTTACGTCCTCCGTAAAACGTGAAAATGAAGCATTTTCACGTCGTAGTCGTGCAGTGACGGTAACGAAATGTACAAAAAAGCGTGATGCACGTGCAGGGTTATAATTGTTGTTTTGCTTTATTGACCAATTGCTTTTTTGACGTTCTTCAAGGGTTGCTGTCTCCATCTTACCATCTTCTTTGCGTCCACTTAACCCGAAACAAAATAAGAAAACTAAAGGATCTTTCTTCCTAAGGATGTCGTCCAAACTCAATTTCTTTTACGCAGTTGAAACTTGACTTGAATAAGCTTTTAAAAGCCCAACTATTTTCGGAGGCTCTTCCATGAACTTTATTTAGAGGGGTTCAAATTATCTCTTTGTCTCTAAAATTTTCCAAGTCTTTTTTTCTGCAGAGCGATCCTAGACCACAAAATAAGACAAAAACTATTAACATATCGAAGGGATTCTCCCATAGCCGACGTATTGTTTTTCTTGTCCTAGTTGCCCATCATGCACTCAGAACCGCGAAGGGGTCTATTAATAAGCGAATTAAAAGAGTCGCGGATTCATATGTCGGATTCACCGGATACGCGTGGACAGAATCTGAATCTGCAAAGAAAGTGCCGAGCGCAATCATCTTTTTTTAATTTCTTACACTTCGTTTTTATGTCTTAAAACGTGTTCAGTTAAACCTGGCTATGATTACTGTACACTTCACTTATTCCAAACGGCGGCTCGACATTCTGAGGCTTCTTTCCTGGTCGGACGGACGAACTTGACGCGGTAAACAAGTTAAATCAGCGAACTGTAATCCTTGGTTAGACAATTTTGTCATCGAAACAGTTATTGACGAAGAATTGCTGGTTTTCAGTGTCACGCCATTCAAAATAGATCAAATAAAAATCAAAACCGTTAAATAGATAAAGTCCAGAATCTGGGAAATGAAAGGACGTACATATACAAAGACCCTCGCCAAGATTCAGGTCAGAGGGATATTTCGTATACGAGATATCCGAAGAAACGTTTTACCCAAACTTATAGAGATTTGTATGGAGACGCCATGCTGGTGCTCACCCGGATGAACTCCAACATGGCGGAAGGAAACCAACAGAAACATCTGTTACTGAGTTTTCCTACAAAAGCGTGAATTTATTCTTCGAGAAACTCATAAAAATTAAAGTAATACTTTTTCTAATACATGAAATCTTTAGATAGCAAAATTTCCTGAAATAAGTCATTTTTTAACCTACATGTACATGACATGACAGCTCTCTTGGCCGTCATGTAAATGCCGCGTCACGCAAAAGCTTAGAAATTCAAGCGCACTCTATCACAAAACCAAGAACCCTTTCGAAGCGAAAAATTGTATGAAATTAGTTTTCAGCTGCTCTAATGCATCATGAAAGTAAAATCTCGGCAGGATCGATAATTTTTTAGTTTGAATGTTAGTGACGTGTTGTGAAACCAACAATAGGGACAAAATGCTCACATGCGCCGAAGATCGCTTTATAAATTAGCTGACGAACTGAGAGTGGAACTGGGTACTTGTGGACGGGCAAATTCGGTTTGAATACGCTACGTGTGGTAAGAAAACGGTTTAGTTTTCGGGATTGCAAGGAAGAAAATACACCAAAATTTCCAGGCAGCAAAATATGATATTTAAAGCTGCATTCGGACGCTATTTAAGATTAATTTGAGTAGTCATTTAGAACTTTTTTATTGAACAATTTATCACGGCCACTGGAAATGTAAGGTTTACTTCTTACTTGGTTAGCTATACCAGCAAACAAGCACTCGAAAACGACTAGAATGAAGAATTGCGAGGTTTTCGGAAAAAAATAGTAACCAAAATTTTGTTTTTCAAAAAGAACAAACTACTCACACAATGGTATAAATTTTAAAGTGATAAAAACGATTCTTGCACTGTTGGTAACTCCTTTGCAGTCATCTAATATTTAAAACATTTAAAAGACATTTTTGTTTTACAACACAGACATATAAGCTAAAACCTCACAGTGGACTGATTGAAAGAGTTGCTGGTAATATCGATATTCGTTGCCTTTTTTTTCACCACTTGAAACTCATTTTGCAGGAATAAAATCCTTTAAATCCAGCAGCCTTCAGCTATTACTTTGATACCGGTGTACTATGCTATCATATTAGTAGGAAGCAGTTAAGCAAAGGGACACTAACTGCTAAGTTATAGTATGTAATCTATATTAATGTTATGGTCACTTGACCATGCCCAGCCGCATTGTAACAACATTCATTCTGCTGATTCTTTCCAGCGTTGTAGGATCCCCCCCCTCCTCCACAGGCTTCCACTAAACCTCTCCCGCTACCTCCCCCAGAGTAGCCTCCGCCACCACCACCGCCACCGCCCGCTCCATAAGATCCACCTCCTCCTCCAAATCCCCCTACAACATAATTGTGCCAGGCTCTCCCACCCACTCCTCCCTGAAGAAATCCTTTGCCTCCCTCTCCGCCATTTCCCATTGTACCTCCGAACTGGGTTGAACTTCTACCACCAGAGTAGAACCCACCACCGCCACCACCTGAAACAAAGAATTAAGACTGAAGTTTTAGAAAATAATGCTCTTTGCTTTCCGATCCTCAGTTGTTTAAAAAACGAGAAGTGCGGACCATCATTCTTGGCTTAAGGCCTAGTTCAGTGGGAGAATATGATTGACTGGCTCGCTTCAAAGCCTTTTCCAGAAAAAAAGAGTTTTCTCTAAATGTAAAACTTTGGGTCTCCTTGGGACTTGACATATAATTATTGTCACTTTAATAACATGTCACTAATTAAAAATTTTAAACGAGGGAAATCCGCTAGAATTGGTGGAGAATACGTCCATTGAATGGTTTCCTTGGAAGAATAAGAGTTTTTGATATTAGGATAATCATATTTTGACTTTCTATCAGCTAGCTAGCCTGCGCCTTTCTTGTTCATTGATGCATCTGCTAAGTTTGGTTGAATTTGAATCAAAAATGGCTCAGAGTGACAAAGTAGCGGCTTAATAACCATACAAGTCCATCAAAATACTCGACAAATCCAGTGAAAAGCAAATCGATTAAAGCAGATGGTTGAGCCAGCGTTTCATTTGTTAACTGTCTTGTTGCAGCGCACGAAAGCAAAGCAAAATGTCCTATTTCTGCACTTAGAAATAATTTGTAAAATCTTAAGTGTGTATTGTGGATTAATAAAATACTATTAACCTAATAAAGTCCTTAATTGGAGAACAGTACATTCTTAAGCTGAAATCAACTCTCACCTAAATTTCTATTCTGGGCGGTCTGTGCTCCTTGGCCACCACTGCCTCCCGCCAATGACATGTGTCCAGTTCTCCCTGCTGTGCCTGCTGATGCATCGCATCCAGTATATCTTGAGTTCGAATAATCCACGCCACCACCTCCACCAGCTACTATCAAAGGCGTGCTGCTTCCCCTCACTACAAACGTACCTCCACCGCCTCCAGCAGCAGATTGTACTGTGTTAATTCCACCCTCTTGACCAACGAGGATGTGAATTGTTTCGCCTTCAGATAAACGAAAAGTCCCTTTCATTCTAGCACCTCTTCCACGATATATACCTCCATTACTCTCTGTATCGTATCCCCCTGCAGCTCCTATCGCCTCTATTCTGTAGTCACCTGTGTACGGCACAGTCCATTGTTGAATACCGCTGGCCAATGCAACTTTACCGTCATGATCCTGACCACTGTAGTAACTACCAAGAGAAGTTGGACCCTTTCTTCCACTCGCACCGAGGTTTGTAAAGACAGCTCTGAATGATGCTGGTTAACGAAAAACAACATAAATCAACATAAGCATTGCACAGAGCCAGAACAACGACAACAACATTTAATTTTTATTTGTATATTTTTTTCAAATGACATAGGAGGTAGCGCTGACCCGCAAAGTAGAAGAAACACTATAATCGAGGCTCGTCAAGCACAGAAAAAAATATATGTACAATTTACATCTATTTATTTATATATTTTGCACCATAAGTTAACAGATGGTTGGAAGGGGAAAAAAGGTAAGAAAAGGAAATTCAAAATTTAATGTTAAAGAAATAAGATTACAGCGGATACTTCAAATCTTGAGATTATAGTGAGTGTTTTAACATATAATCATCCTCCGACAATGAAATATCTCATAGTTGTCGATAAATCGACGCCTTAAATTTATATTTTGATTATGAACGAATAGTGAGAGCAATGCAATTCCACACTTTAGGGCCAGTGCGGGGAAACGGCTTAATCCTCTTCTGTGTTTTGAATGGCAAAGGTGCCAGCTTTCTGAGAAAATCTAATGTCATAATGGTGTGTGCCAGAGGCGAGAGTGAATAAACTAAGGGGTGCTCTGTTATTTAGCACGTCAATCATAATGATACAAATGGATTTAACCCTATTCAGACTCGGCTTTTTTGGTCAATCTGTGACTGGGGGGACTCCTCGGAACCCCCCCTCTGTATCTCTGGAACCAATAATGCTAGGGTCATGAAATTTACACACAATGATCATCTCCGTACAAAGAAGCCCCACACCCAGTTTTGACTTGCCACGCCCAATGATGACGTCACAGTGACGTCATATTCCGATTTTTCAATGTTTCTTATTATTTTTCCACTTAGATACGTAAAATATCAATAATATTGGTAAAGTCATCTCTTTGTTATCCTTTCTTATGAACTAGTAACAAGGAAACACTTGTACAGCGAGAAAAAGCAATAGGAAGCAATAAAATTTAAAATTTGAAATGGTTGTCCGCCATCTTGGATCCGCCATCTTGGATTTCCGTTTTTTTGTTAAAATTATAATTTAAAGCAACTTTCAAAGGGGAAAAAGCTCAGAATGTATAAAAGAAGTATCAAACTAATGTTTATTACCCAAACAAATGACTTTGGAAGTGTTATTTGGAAAATAGAGCAGCATATTTGTCAAAGCAAAAAAGTGACAAATTTTACTCCACCCCTCCCCCCAAATATTCGATGTTGAAACATTTTGATGTAATTCAAAAACTAGTCTCAAGCAAAGACCATTTTAACAACAAAAAGCACTATAAGTGTAAAAAAGATCTTAAAACAAAAAAATCACCATTTTTTAAATTTTCCAAAACCTGTGTCAGAAACTGGTTGCCATGGCAACATGATTAATCACATGGACATGGTAATTATATCAAAATGTTCCCAGAGAAATTTTAGGAAAAGTCAGAAAATTTGAACGTCATAGCTCTTTCGGTGTAGGCGTTATCACGATTTTGCCGGAGGGGGGTTTCGAAAAGCCCCCCCCCCCCCTTAGTCTGAATAGGGTTAAAGTACAGAGTACAGAAAGTTGAGTCTAACAATATTATAGAGGTCAAATAAAGGTACAGCATGAAATTTGAACGGTGAGAACTGATTAAATTAATTGATCAAGCTATAGCGCACGCTTTTGTAACGCGATCAAGATGTTATTAAGATTAGAAAGAGATTCAGCCAAAGAGAGACAGAGTTACTAAAAGTTTAAGGTGGCCTCATAACGGGCAAAACACTAAACCGTGTATCTATAAGTAATCGGCCTTAATCAAGTTTAGCCGGTGTTACCGTGCAATTACTATGCTTAACCCTCGGATGACAGTAAAGCTCATCTTTTTCCTTGTACAACGAGGTTTGCGCGATTAGAATCCTCTTAGCCTCAGTGGGGTTTTGCTATCTTACTTACACTATGGAATATGAACTGCTGTAGAGCTGTGGCATTATTCATAATGAAGCGTAAAAATGAAAAATCAGAAATATGCACGCAGATTTTGTTTACTCTTTGATTGAGTATCTCAAAACCAGCTCCTGACTTGTAATTAAATATTTTACTGTTTTTCATGCCATTTATGACGTAACCTGCCAACGGCAGACGTTTCTTCTCGCTCATCGCCGCTGAGGGACGTTTAGCGAGGAGAAACATCTGCGGTTTGAAGGCTATTTATGACGCGATATACCGTAAACTCGCGATTATAAGCCCTAGGCTTATACAACTTCGTAAGGGGTTTTAGGAGGGCTTATAAACCGGGGTGGCTTATATTCGAAGGAGGGGCCGGGGGCGGGCTTATAACAAACAGGTATAAAAAAAAGTGCTTCAAAAGAAGCTACATACTAGTGCTGATCAAAATACTTTTGGAATTTGATCGCTTTTTTAATCTTCCAAACATCGTAAGAAGTCGAATTCATTTCAATAGATGCTAGAGGGGGGCTTATAACCAGATGTATTTCAGGTAGGTGGGCCTATAAATGGGATTGGGGGGCTTATAATAAGTGGGGGGAGCTATAATTGGAAGTTTACGGTATTGCAACTTAAGCGACCGACTGTCGTAATATGCTTGAGGAATAAATGAATAGCTACTGAAAAGAAGATTCTTGAATTACATTAGCTAGTAAAAGACGAGGAAACGAATGACGAGCTTTTGCCACTCCTCTCGGTTGCCAAATATTACGATCTTTTCACCTTACGTGAGGGAATACAGTACAGTTTTGGATCTGGATTCCGGACTCGTTGCCAGGAGAGGAACTTGGATTCCGGATTCGTTAAGCTGTATTACGGATTACAAAGCCTATCATTACGGATTCCACAAGTAAAAATTTTCCGGATTCTGTTTACGGGTTCTCTTACATGGGGCTAATCTTTACGACCTTTGAACCATTGCTGGTCTACAAAGCGGCAGAAAATGACAATAATCATCTATTGAAATAAACTTAGAGCCAGTCTTCAAACAGCGTTCCTAGAAAGCTCTATTCTTCAGCATATCCCGATTTGTCAGATACACAGGGCGACTTGATTTGCTCAAAGTGCAAGATTTCGTTTCACAGATTAAATGTTCATTGAGGTTGATCATTTCTGAGTTCAGTTCAAGTTGTGTTCATACCTGTGAGGACGCATGTCATACCATCCCCTGAATAACCTGCTGCGCAAGCACAACTGTACGATCCTGGGGTGTTAGTACAGACGGCATTGATGTCACAGCTGTGTGAGATTGAAGAACACTCGTCTGTATCTGATAAGTTAGAAAAAAAAAAGTCTGTGTTACCGGTATTTTCGTCTCCTCTTTAAGAAGTAAATATAGAGCGTTATTATTCATCCAAAATATTTCTCCATTTCTGATTGGCTAAAATCTCCCGCATAACTCCTCATAACCCGCTGTCGTCGACCGAATTTGTAAGAATTTTGGGATATGTGAACTGAATACGTCAATCGTGCAGCAAAATTGCCAGATTATTGACAGTTAACCGAGAAGACCTGAGGGCGAGGTACAGTTATTTGGTAGTAAATACAAAATGGCGAAAACATTTCATTTGTTTCACGAGGAATAAATAGGCGAACATTGGCCAAAAAGATAGCAAGAACAGCAAGAAGACTTGGAGAATATTTGCAGAACTGAATAACCCTTTATCTCCTAAACTTGCCAATAAACATGAGGCTATCGAAAATGAACTTAACATCATAGAAGGAGGATCTTCTCCGCCGAGGACGCGATGCCGAGGCGGAAAACTTCCTCCACGATCTCCATAAATCTTCAGATGATACTCAGCCTAATTCAATAATTGCTAATTAATTAATTTTTCTGATTTGTGAAGAGTATCTTGCTCACCATTGCAAATTCGACCATTTCCAGTGAATCCAGATTTACATGAACAGCCGTATGAGCCCACGGTATTTTGGCAATCAGCATTGACGTCACATGTGTCGGAGTTAGTGGAACACTCGTCCAAATCTAAAGATAGATATTGCGAACAATAATTATTTTCACTTATATGTCATATTTATTCAGCAACATCTATATTATCTTTATAAAATAACTAAGATAGTGCGCGGGCTCTGCTTGGCCGAAAGGAGTGTTTGCATGAGAGTATGTAAACATGGTTGTGGCGTCAAGATGTTTTGCTTTTCGCGTGCTAATCACGCAAGCACGAATTTGAATAAGTGTTCGAGTTAAAAACTCGACAAGTTTACTTAATTTACCCATTCCTTCGTCGGCAGAAACTTGGAAAATCGTTACAAAGAAGGTGTGTGAACTTTTTTTTTCGCTTAAGCTGACATTTTAAGCATTTTGGAAAGCATCTTTTTGCAAAAGAAGAACTGATTACGCGTGCAAGACTTCGTGGACAAGACTTTTCGACTGGCAAGAATTTCTCTTTTAATCAGTGTCATACAAAGAGTTTTTCGTCTTTTCTCGGGAAAGTTATTTTATAAAAGCAAAAGAAAACTTTTTTCCTGTGTTTGCATAGCCTGATATAAACACTCGAGTCGAGGCGTTGGGAGAATTCTCGACCGTTATGCAAACCCTCGACTTCGTGTCGGGTTTGCATAACTGTCTCGAATTCTCCCAACCCCTCTCGTGTTTATATCAGGCTATGCAAACACCGAAAACGTTTCTATTGCTTAAATATAAACCTCGATATTTTTATATATACCGTACTTTTATAGCAGACCTCTCGCGCGCGAAGCGCGCCAGCGGAGAACGTCTTTGATAGCGATATTTTTAGTCTCCTTTTTAGGAAGTGAATATTTAACAATTATTCTCCGAAGGCGGAGTTAATATTGTTGAATAATCCCCGAGGCGAAGTCGAGGGGATTATTCAACAGTATTAACTTCGCCTGAGGTGAATAATTGTTTTAGTATATTTACACGAAGTGATCTCAACAGAATCAGACTGAAAGGAAACCATTAAAAAACGATTAGTTTGATTGACGGGTGAATTCATGCGTGAACACGAAGCCGTAAACAGTGGATGCGCAATAGTTAGATCTTAACAGTAT